CAGGGAGCCCGATGTGGGGCTCGATCCCAGGACCCTGGGATCATGACCTGAGCTGAAGGCAGACGCTTAACGACTGAGCCACCCAGGCACCCCAAGAGTGTGTTCTTAAATCGGTCGCTTCAGCTCTATATAGTTCAAGTGCTTAACTTGTAGAATAAGTGACATGATTCCTACTTTGAGGGTCATTTGGGTGATGAAACAGAAGAATGGATGTTTGTGGAACCACCCTGTAGACTGTTTGACAGGCAGAATATCTGTGGCAGGTGGCTGGGGGCAGGAGGAAGGGCTCATTTTAACTTGACACAAGCATGTCAGAAAGGCTTCTCGGGCTCCTTCCAAGCTGTGACAGGGACCTTCTCTTGGTCCTACAGTCCTCTGGGTTTCCAACCTCAGGGGGATTTTCTGGGCCATCTCCACCACCAGACTGAGAACTTTCTCCCAGCCCAAGGACATCTGTGTGTCCTGCTGAGCTTCATTTTTCCTAATCTTAACATCAGCACATAGTAGGGACTGAGAACTTCTTTACTGAGTGAATACTGGGGATGCAGAGGGAGTCGCTGAGTAGAGAAATCAGGGAAGAGGGGAGGGAGGGAGGATATGAGGGAGGTCATGAACAGACAGCGGAGGAAGAAACGGAATACACCAAGGCCCCTCTCTTCGGTTTCAGGAGCTGGGAACCCAGAGCCAGACCTCTGGATCATCCAGCCCCAGGAGTTGGTATTGGCAACCACTGGAGACACTGTATCCCTGAACTGCACAGTGCTTGGAGATGGTCCCTCAGGACCCAAGAGGTGGTTTCGGGGGGCTGGTCTGAGCTGGGAGGCCATTTACAACTTTGAAGGCATCTCCCACCCCAACATGACAGCAGCCCGGGCCTCCAGCAGGGATTTTAGCATTCTTCTGCAAGGTGCCTCTGCTGAGCGGGCAGGCACCTACTACTGTGTCAAGTTTCAGAGGAAACTCAACAGACAACACCTGTCCGGACCGGGCACCAGGCTGAGAGTAAAAGGTGAGACAGGTGGTCTAGGAGGCATTGAGGGTGAGAGGGAGGTGGTCTACAAGGAACTTTCCATCATATCCCAAATAAACCAGCTGTTCTCAGCCTCCAGCCTTTCCACAGGCCATTCCCTCTGCCTGGAATTCTTTTTCCTTCTCTCAGGAGAACTCCTACTCGTCCTTCAAGGCCCAGCACAAATAGCTCCTCCTCTGTGAAACCTTCCGTTTTTCCCAGGCAGAGTTAATTTCTCCCCATTCTGGGCTCCACAGAACTTTGTATAGACCATCAATGATTTAACAGCGTCTGTTGAGTGCCTGTTTACTGCCTTGCATTACACTAGGTGCTGTAGATACTGTAATGAATCAGACATTGTCCCTACCCCAGAGATGCTCCCACAGGTCTAGCTAGTCCCTCTTAGTTGCAGGGTTTGACTTCTAGCCCCCATCCCAGGCAGACCCATCTCGATGACCCCAGGTGCTAGCAGGGGCTCGGGAAGTGGCAGGACAGAAAGAAAAGGGGAATGTGAGACTGTCTCTCTTCCTTGCAGCAAACCGCACTTCTCCCCAAGAGACAGAATTCACCAATGAACATGTAGACAGGCTATTTCCATCAGGTGAGTGTACTTACCTCCTGTGAAGGTACCCAGTCCCCACAGGCAAGGGCGGCCAAACATGGCTTGGCCATGGGAAGGGAGCAGTTTCTGACTTCTAGGGCCATCTGCCACCAAGAAAGTCCCCCGGACTTCATCTCAACTGCAGAACCATGTTGAAGCCAGAGAACCATGTTGAAGCTCAATCAGAGAAAGGACTCTCTAACAGCCGGTGCTGACTGTTCAGTGGGCAGTCTTGCTTGAGAGGTAGTGAGCTCCCCATGAGCCAGTGCAAGGACACACCATGAAACTATACATCACGGAGCTGGAGAACATGGCTTGGTAGCCAGGCATCCTGGATTGAGCCCCCTTCTAGCTGTGTGATTGCGGGCAGGTAGCCTTGCTCCTTGAATGGCTGTTGTCCTGCTCTGTGAACTAGAGGGGAGAAGAGATAAGAATCGGAGAGCCTACCTCATGAGGTTGGATGTAGATCCGATGAGATTTACGCGTGCCAAGTGCCCAGAACTGTGCATGCCACATCACCTCAGGGGTGCTTGGGACTGGGATGCGGTTGGGGGTGAGACTTGGGGTAGCAACCCCAGATGCTCCCTGTTGCTCAGCCTGTCCCTGCCATTCTTGGGAGCCAGACCACGTGGTCCCATCACTTCTCTGACATACATGTCCCTGAGCAAATCATGCCCCCTCTCGGAGTCTGCCTCCTCATCTGTACCAATTACATTATTATCCTACCTTGCAGGATAAGTTTAAGGACTATATTAGGCAATTAGGAAGTGCTTAGCTCAAGGTCTGGGGCAGAGGAGCTGAGCAGCCCATAAATGAACACAGTTTTCTATTACTGTCAGCTGTCAGGAATGCTGCCAAGATGACAAAACGTACAGGTAGGATATTGGGCAAAGCCTCTTCAGGCCCAGGACAGAGGGAGGGGAGGTCTTAGATCTCCTCTCTCAGCGTAGAAACAATGTGGCTCCAGAGGTTTACAGCCACTGGGCCATCTTCCTTGTGGGGACACTGAGGTCTGGGACTATTGGGGGATCACCCAGGGTCCTTCCTGAGCTCTCCCCTGTGTCCTCCAGACCTCCTGTCTGTGTTCACACTTGTGGTCCTGGGGCTGAAGACAATGACCTTGGCCGCACTCCTGCTGGCCCTGGCTGCATACTGGAGGAGGCGTCAGCAAGAAGACATCAAGACCCCAGGCCCAGCAGGACTGGGCCCCCCTTAGCATCGGGCATGGAGCATGGGGCATGGGGCATGGGTGAGGGGTGAGCCCCAGAGTCGGTCCTCTGAGTCGGAGAGAGACCAGGGCTCCCCAGCCACTTCTCTGCCTCTGATCTCAACCTCCAGATGTTCCCCAGGCCTTGTGCCAAGCTCCGTGATCCCCATACCTGGCTTCCACTCACCCGGTGAAGTTCTCCACCGGGCACTGACTGGGCTCCCTTCTGGTGTGCCGTGTGTGCTCTCCCTTCACAGCCCGTGCAAGCCCTCCTGGTCCTTCAGGGCTTGGCCCGGCTCTCTTCTCAGGGCCCTTGTTCCTGCTACAGCCCCGTCTGGAGTGCCGCTCCCTTCCTCCACTCTCCACATTTCCTCATCCTTCAAAATCCAACTCAGAGTCCTTTCCGGAAGGTTTCCCTTCCGGAATGTTTTCCAAGCATCTCTGAGCTTGCAGAGCCAGACTGCCCAGGCCCCTCCATTTACATCCTTCTCTCCCGGTTTCCCGCCTTATTTCCTTCCCCACCGTGGCTGGCTTGGGTGGCTGTAATAGGTAAATGCAGGTTTGGCAACTTTAACAAAACTCTCTCTTTCTTTTTTTTAGATTTTATTTAGTTATTTGACAGAGAGAGACACAGCAAGAGAGGGAACACAAGCAGGGGGAGT